TCAACTCATTTGTCGAATTTTGAGGGAGTCATCAACGCCTTTAACGACTGCTAACAATCCTGTTGTGAGTTTTGGGTGGATCGAAAGGCGTGCATTGCATTTCATTGATGTTATTTCACCTCTTTTCTGTTCAAGTTACGTGTATGTGATAGCATTTAGATACTTTGCTGCCGAACATTTGTATATTGAAATAGTGGATTCGGAATAACTCCATTAAATCACTTTTATTATTTGAGCGATGTTCAATAAGTAACCAGATACTGAAAGTGAAAAGTAGGTGGTCCTCAACGTTTTAGAAGAAGTAGAACCGCGTCTGGAATACTCCACAAACAGGTCTCTAACGCTCCTGCAGTTGTTGATAGCTTTACGGCAATATGCTGATCCTTTCCACCTTGCACTCGACGATTACAATGGAGTTCCGTCATCTACAGGATGCCGTCGTGTGAAAGTTTCTCTAGTCACAGTATGTGGTAATTCCACGAGGTCCGAAGCCTCAGCAGTAAAGAAAGATATTTTGAGGAAAAGAGGCTGCACACATGTCATTTGTGTATCAATGGGGAAATTAATCAGATCCATTCAGAAGTATAAACTGTATTTCTTTCTAAAAGGGCAAGCAATGTCAGATATTTGTAATGTTTTTTATATTGCACGTCATTGATATTCAGGAGGCAATGTGAAACACTTCGAAAGCTGGCATAGGATTATGACCTAAGAACAATCTACCAATGTTTCTTGACGAATCGTCTAAGTTAAAGCAGCGTCTTTCCTACTTCAAAAGCAACTGTGAAACGTAACGAAGTGTCATATGTTTGATGTTCATCAAAATGATCGTTAATGCCGATTTGATGTGTTTTTGAAAGATTGGCAGTAAAACTTTAAATTACGATGAGGTGAAAAATGTGTACTAACAAAACGCCCCTACTCAACTATTACGTCTATTGTTTGCGCAAGAAACGGGTAGTGACGTTAATGACCAAATAAAAATCTTTCTTGACGAAGGATGCGGCGCCCAAGCAGACAAGAGTGTGCAACAAAATGGAAAAGACGCCTGTAATCACTCAGTCTTTTGTGACCTTTGCCTCCGTTGCCTAGTGGGCATCTGTCCAAAGGCCGGTCCATTCAGCTTCTTCCTACTCGAAGTTCGTCTCTTGCCAATAAGACCTCGAGGTCATAATGCTGCATTCCTCACGGAATGAGACCATACACGTGCAGTCTGTTTGCACCAAATAGTCAGGGTTGAATCAGCTCTTTTCTTGCTTTTCTTTCCGAGATGAATTAATATTACGCCTTTTTTTTAAAGTTCCAGTCTTTTTCATCGCACCGTTTACTTCAGCTTCTGTGAGGCACTATTCGCCATCTGGATAATATTTTTTTGAATTATATATTGCTGTATATACGTCTTTATCGAGAGTCAGAATTTACCTGGTAAATTGATGTGTAATACATTAATTAGAAGGATAAAATAAAGTGAAGGAAAAAAATATTAGATTAGCCCTATTAAGGATGTGGATTGTGCAAATTTTAGAAATCATATCTGATTTCAAGGCGGTCAAAACACGGATTAGGTTGATATATGTACGTTCTCGGAGACACCTCGTTTTACATGTTACAATGCATGATGGTGAAGTTTTCCAAACTAATGTTGTGCGTCTTTTGAGATAAAATGCATTTTTAATTACAGATAAGGAGAGTCCAGGATTGAGCCAAATCATTCCGATTGTTCTAGGAGACCTTGTACAAGGTACTTTGTACAAGGTACAAGGTACCTTGTACTTTGTACAAGGTGAAAAATTGTCTCGGCAACACATTTTACATACGAATGTTTTGTAATGCATTGTTATGAGTAAACGTATCATGTCTTAGGTAACATTAGGTCATGAGAGATGTTCTTTTGTTTTTGAAAGTTATTTTTGTATTATAAATTGGTTGGAAAAGTTGTGGACGTATTTAATAAAATGTCAGCAATTGGGGACATGCGAGAAAAGGTATGCGACGAGATCTACATAAAAAATCACACGTCCTGTATCGTGTAATTTTGTACCCACATATCTAACAACTCGTCTAAAATTTGCCAGTGTCGTTAAATAAATTCACCTTAAAGTATGGTATTCAGATGTGTTCGAAGGTATAAAGTAACAAATTTCAATATTATACATACAGAAATGTTTCCAATATTTAGACCGTTTCTACTGTAAGAATTACACTAGTAATAGAACATTTCATGCGTTATGCTATAAATGATGATTTGTTAAAACTTTCCTGATATTTCCATATCCTGCTTAACAGCTCCATTACTCAACCTTGTAATTTTGCAAGCAAGTAATGTCGGAGATATTGAGGGAGAAGAGTTGTTTCCGTGTTCCATGGGCCTGTTGTTCAGAGAATAACTTGGAGAAAGTAGGAATAAGCATGTTCAGTTGTGAAATCAAACCAATTTCAAAGTGTAATATTTTTATTGAAAACATCATTAAAATCACATCACTTCTAAACAGTATTCTTTATTATGAGTCTCATTTTTAGGGCATTGTAATTCCTTTGATGGGTTTGCTATTTAGAACTACGTGCTAAATGCTATTTACAACTAAAACAATTAAAATGATATTTTTCACTGTCAGATTTGGCTGCTAACTGCTTGAAATCTGACTGGTCGCTGGTTAGGGATATTTGTGGAAGTTCGGTTCAATGTACGTCGGTTAAAAATGCATGATACTTAGGTTAATAAATTTCATTATTGAATTCAATGTCTCGCAGGATTAGGTTGTCCCCAAAACGGAAATAACCTTATTTGCAGAGAATTATATAATTGCCATTTATCCTTGTAATTTTGTAAAGCCTTACAAGAATGTTAGAAGAGCTGCATGCAACCTCTCTTGACCTAGTGGGAGAGATAAGTATGTGTTGAGGTGTGTTGTGTTGTTGCGGTCGTAGTTGTTGGTGAACGCGTGCTTCGCTCCCCTGAACACGCGCGTCGTTCGCGTTGTGGCCACTGGTGTTAGAAGGCTTGTGGCCAATAGAGAGAAGTATTAAAGAGTGCGTTTTGTATTGTAGTGTGTTGCGTTGTGTTGAGTTGCGTCGCGTGTGCAGTTGTCAGTGCATCTGAGCGCGTGCGACGTTCGCATTGTGGCCTCCATCTAAACGTGTGTGTGTCGTGTTGCGTGTTCACAGTTGGTGGCTCGTCTGAACGCGTGCGACGCGCGCGGCGCGCTGCCGCTGGACCTGGCGCTGGCGGGCGGGCGGCTGGCGCTGGCCGCCACGCTGGCCGACCACGGCGCCACCCGACCGCGCGGACGCCGCGGCAGAACCCCCTGCTGCGCGCCGCCTGCCGCCGCGACGCCGCCGCGCGCCTCCTGCTGCCGCCGCCCGCCCCCCAGCGCCGCCAACGCCGCGGGCGACACGGCGCTGCACCTGGTGGCGGCCGCCGTGGACGACAACGCCGCGCCCGCCGCCCCCGACGACGAGGACCAGCCGCCGCGACTGGCGCCGCCCGGCAAGCTAGGTAGGTGTCTCAGGCCATCGATTGATGTCACTGCAGAACCTCTGAACGGGAGCTCCAAGGGTCCGTCTCTCAACGCTGGCGATTTTTCAACACTAGTTAAATAGCCGGGTCGAATTCAACTGCTGCCTGAAGGAGAATTCTAAGGGGCCAGCTGCTCTGCTCGGTAGTTTTTCAGTGGTTTCAGTGTAATCAAGATTTTATCGATCGCGCGATCTGTTCTTCCTCTTCATTGTCCAATTCTGACGCCTTCCTTACACACACACACACACACACACACACACATGGGAGTAGCAGGATGAGAGTGGACAAGGTGCATGGGACAGAGCAGAGACGGCAGAGCGTGTCCGGAAGAGCTGAGCGCGGCGTGGTGGCGCGCTGCAGAGAGGGCGTGACGGGGAAGTAAATAAAATTACTGTTATCATTTTACACTATAGGTACCATTTATTCTTATAGATGATGATTGATTCCTATTCTAATAAATCGAACCTATAGATTGAATTTCCTATATTCGTTGCTATTGCAATAGATCATGAAAATCTTCATCTATTACAAATTAGAAGGAGTGCATTTAATCTTGATAATGAATTCATCGTTTACCTCTCTTTGTGTTTGGGCAAGTGTTTGCCTCTGTGTTGCTAGGGCTTCGAGGAGGGTTTAAGTGAGGAAGACGAAGTTCGTTAGGCACGGGTCTTGTCGCCATTCGGTTTTGAGGTGGTTTGTTTCTCATTCCACGATTTACCTCATCTACACTACCATTCGAGCGAGAATTAATCGTTCACGTCTCAACTTCATTCGCCTCTCATGGTCACCCATCCAGGTGGCGGCAATGTCAAACCACCACTTTGATCACCTTTCCATAGCGACTGCGAGTATCATGGTCATCGTCATCACCATTTAGAGTTCGCATAAGCTGCAATACCTTGTTTATTTGATTACCTGCATGTTTATTTAATCACATTATGCATATTCCAGAATCATTTCTTGTTACTAGCGCTAATTGCGTTATCTATAGTCACACAAAATATCTGGTCACTTTTTGAATTTCAGTATAATGATTATTTTATAAGTGTGTTGTATACTACGTATATTTTCACATTTTATTTACAGAATCGTAAGCATTGCACAAATTGTTTCTGCCTCAAAGTTAATATATTATACCTAAACGCCTGTATTTATAAGAATGAAAAAGCGAATTGAAGAGGTCGACAGAAGATAGTGCTAACCCTCAATTCATAAATCCAGACCAAAGGACTTGGAATGTCTCCTAAAAACAAATATTACGATCCAAATGCTGAACAAACATGTTTCTAGAACTACAGTATGTGCGTAGAAAGCAACCAGAAGGGTATATTAAATAAGAGACGTCTCATTCTACTAAAACTTTGTTTTTCCTCTGTCAGACAAAAAGCTTAGTGATAAGGGTTAGCAGCAATTCCCTCAGCTCCTTCAATTGTGCGAGTCCAGATCGTCCGATGACCACTTGCCTTGCTCTCTCTCCGCAGGCGACGGCGACGGCGAGGGCGAAGGCGCCGAGGGCGACCGGCCGCCTCGCCGCGACGGCGCCGCCCTGGCGCAGCAGCTGCTGGACGCTGGCGCAGACCCCAACCTGCACAACCGCGAAGGATTGTGAGTAACCACTTTCGCGCTTTCGCTGGCTACAGTTGCGGAAATATTATTGCATGTCCCGACCGCGGGACGAGGGGACCGCTGCCGCCCGCTTCTACGCGCTCCAAGTAGACGCGGCCTGGTGGGTGGACATTGTTGGTCTACCGCGTTTGCTTCTCCGCCCCGACGCCGGGGAGGAATCTAGGACCTTGATCGTAGCACCTGTTTGAGAATTGGAAATGACCTGTCGGTTTTTCACAGTTTCTCGGTGATTCTGACGGCCTTGGAGCCTAAGGGAGTGGGGGGGGGGTAGTCTGTGAGGAGGCAGGCATACACTCCTTACCACCGGGATTCGTCCGAGCTGCGTGCTAGGTTCCTCATGTTCCTCTGTAATAGAGACTCGGAATCCAGTCTTCGGCCGGAGTGGTTAGTATATTTTCACATATCCAATTGGTTATGCGAAAGTACGTTAACGAGCACCAGAGCTGTTATCTTGTATCTGACAAAGTGTTATACACAGGTTTCTAGGTCGACATAAGTAGAAATTGGGGAAACACTTGAAACTTATGATCTAGCGAGCGTCTAAGTGTCAGAAGGAAAGATAGTTCCGGGTTGATTGGTAAACGGCTAGACGTCTAAAGCTCTGATACTCGTAAAATAGGTGAATAATAATATATCAATGTTTTCTCCAGTCCTTAATGAAGGGTGGTGATGGAAGGAATGGAAGGGTGGTGATGGATATCCTCGCTGCGTGCACTAGTGTCCAATCCCCCGACCCCTTTCCCCATGCTCCTAACCTAAGCTACACGCCTTAGCCTTGTTTGCTTAAGTCTCGCAATGCCTGAGGGCCGGTCATGCAACATCTTTTGAATTTGCACTGACCACGAGCTGCTCCAAACCTGCCCCGAGGAGCGCTGTCGAGCCGCGCTGTGTGTCGTGATTTTGCAGCACACCGGTGCACCTGTGTGTGCTGGCGCGCAACTCGTCGGTGCTGCAGCTGCTGCTGGGCGCGGGGGCGGACGGCGGCCGCGGGCGCGGTCCCAAGGCGGACGTGAACGCGCGCACGGCGGAGGGCCACCCGCCGCTGTGGTTCGCGCTGCTGGCCGAGGGCGCGGGCGCGGAGGCCGAGGGGGCGTACCCGTCCGATTGCGCGGCCGAGCGCCTGCTGGCCGCCGGCGCCGCCCCCAACCCGGCCTACCCGCCGCCCGCGCAGCCCGCCGGCGACCGCCTGTTGCACCGCCTCGCCCGCGACGCCCTCGAGCCCGCCGCGCTCTTCGTGGCCGCGCGCGCGCCCCCCGCCGACCTCGCCGCTGCCAACGCCAACGTAAGTGGGATACCCTCGGATACCCTCGTCTTAATGAAGTTGCCCTTCAGACTAGAATTGCCTCAATTGCTACCACACCAATGCGCAACATCGAAAAAAGATTGGGGTTATTAATTATTTTTATTTTTTAAAAAATATTTTTAATCATATTTAAATACCAGACTTTAAGAGGAAATACTGATAACGAAACTGGTTTCGATTTTTTCAGAAAAGGATTTCATAAACTTATTTCAAAATAAAAGACTCATGGAAGAGAAAAAACACTTAGCCAAGGTTCCGAGAAGTAGGAGAGCGCTCAACTCTTGGAGTGCCGAAAACGTGTACCTGGTTGATCGCAATTATCATTTCACAAACTTGAAAATTACACAATCAACATTCTCAATTGGCGAGAATCAGAGAAAGTTTGGCGGAGGAGCATCCTCCTGTGCGCTATGCCTGCATCGCGTGTAACTTTCGTGGGTGATCTGTGAGAGAGGACCTCCATCAGACAAGTGAAAGGAGAGAAGGTCTCCCTTAGATCAACGGCAGCCGTGGCAAGAATGTAAACACTGTGTTGTGAATGTAAACACTGTGTTGTGTAAACCAGTTTTGATGTTTTCTTCGAAATTTGAGTTCATCAGAGTGACCACTATGTAAAACGGAAAAGTCTTTAACTTTCGTTGATCAGGAAACGTTAATAAATAATTAGGTATTTTTTAGAAGAATCTTTAGTAAATAAAAATGTTTGAGACAACTATAAAAATTGATATTATTCCTAAGGTTATATTAGTACAACGTTATTTTAGGACACTTTTTATGTGAAGAAATATTGTTTGATTTCTCGTCCTCACAGCGAAATTAGATGTCAAATAATAATGGAAAGGAGTATAGTATTTGATATAATATTTTCTCTAAATTGTGTGAACTAGTACTACTTGGAAATTTTGCCAGAGAAAAAATTTAAAAATGTAATAGAAGATCAGGAAAAGTTGGGGAAATTTATTCCAGAAAAAATGGTCAGCCATCTCGCGTATTTCAGGCGCGTTGATTTCCACCTATTGTAGTTTCCTTCATTGATATATCAGAGGCACTGATCCTAGGCCGATCACTAGTCTTACCTTCTCTTCCTGTCCCAGTTTCTTTTGCTATGCCCGCGCTGCATCTACACTTCTACCGTTCCGGTCCCTTTTTGCCCTTGCACATCCTTATCTGGATGTTTGTTAACTTGACCACTTTCTTCCATTTTCACTTCATCCGATGTCTTCTTTGTTTCTCCACTTCATTTAGTCCTACGAAATTCTTACTTCATTTATCAGCAATACAGATGTCCTCTCATTCACATTTAAATATATTGCAAGATTCAAATGTGCATTAAAACCCATATTTCCACAATACTTGATAATTTCTCCTGTAAGGTAGAGGTGTGTGTGATGCAGGAGTGTTTAGTAGGTTGCCTAAGGCGTCAGGCGATTCTGACATGTTTTTATATGGGACATAGTAGTGGGTCGTTTAATGTAGTTACAAATATTGATGTAGAGAGTTATCAGTAGAAAAATTGTCAATTTTTTGTCCGTTTAATCGTTTGTGAGGGGGAAAATTCTTCATGTACATACATTCTACATACAAGATATTTCCTTTCGTCAATCACATGTACGTGAAAGGCATGCTCCTGCAAGAGAATCATTTTAATTATTGTATAATTCTCGTAGGCAAATACTCCTGGTTCCTCCGAGGTCCTGCGTTAAGGAGAGGTCTGATTTACAAAGTACTAATCGCTGGTGTGGGTAATCCATCTTCTGCAAAAGAAACAGCAATATCGCCAATAACATAGATGTTTCGAAACATTGGTGCTCAAAATTAAAATAGTGATGACAAAACCATAGATGTTTTTAAAACTGGATTAGTAACCATTGACGTTCACGCGGCGGGGAGAGGGGATTTAATTTAAAAGTAGTCTCGTTTATTAATTTTTAATTGAAATTTAACTGACAAAACAAAGTTTAAAAAATCATCAGAACAAGTAAAAAAACTTGATTATCTGATTCAATAATTCAAAATTTATATAGGCTTCTTAGTTCACGAAAAGTTGATTTTAATTATTTTTGACCTTCGTCCCTTTGGTCTGAAGAATATTCAATTTATGGATATCTGAAAATTATAGAACTTTTTGCAGCGTTCATTATTTAAAAAAATATCGAACACAAAACATCGATGTTAAAAAACATCGGCTTCATATAATTTATGTTACGTACATTGATGATTTTATAAAAAAATCGTTATTTTGTAAACATCAAAATTATTGTATGCCAAGAGCACTTTCAACAGACGTAATTGGATTTGAGCTTCGACTATCGTGTCGGTTTATAGATTTCCCCTGCGTCTGTTACTTGCTGAGCTTCTCGAGGTGTGCAGCTGCTCTGTGTGTCCGCAGGGGGAGACAGCGCTGCACGTGGCGTGCGCCAAGGGGCTGGCGCGGCTGGCCACGCGGCTGCTGGAGCGCGGCGTGCCGCCCAACGCCCAGACGCTGCGCCCGCCCTCCACGCCCTACACTCCGCCCACCGCCCCCGCCTTCACGCCCGCCTATGTGCCCGCCGCCTCGCCCGCCTCCTCCGCTGCCTCCGCCGCCTCCGCTGCCTCCACCGTCTCCGTCGGCCGGTCGCCCTTCGACGATGACGATGACGACGAGGACGAAGACCAAGGGCGCGTCGGTGAAGAGGTGTCTTCCAAGGTATAGTTCATGGCTCTTTTTTTTCATTACATTTTGCTTTAAGGGATCAGTCATACAACTGCGTGTCACACTAATTCATTTCCGAGATGCAGCTCATTGAATGTATGGCGGGCACATGTTAGTCAAAAATCAACCTGGCAGGCCGGCGTAAGAAAATTCTCCGAGAAAAAAAGGATAAATGTAACGTGGAACGTGGACTTGTATTAAATGTTTTAAGAAAAGATAAGTGTACTTTCAACTCGAAACCTGACAGCGAGTGACACAAACACAAATACAACGCTGTAACTGTTGATAAATGTCGAAGAGTAACTGTGATAGGGGCAGGATATAACCCAAGTAACCAAAAAGCCACGGAAGCGATATAAACGTTTTAAAATAATATTTTTTGAAATAACTAATACTGAGATTAAATAATAAATATGCATTCAAAGAATGTATGCCCATATGCCTTGGAACAAACGTGACAAACTTCAATGCTTGTAGGGTCGTCGAAGATGATAATCTTTTGCCAGAGAACATGTAGTGGGAAAATTCTTACAACTGTCTCTGAATGTTAGGCAACTCTTCATGCGCCGAGAAACCACATGTCACATTCTGATGCAGTCGTAAAGTTTTCGTTTATCTGCCGAGCACCAGCTTTTGAGGTTTTATCTTACAATAAGGGACGAATGTCACAAGTGTAACTATGGTATAAGAAATTTACCACGAATTGTTCATTGGCAGAGATTGTTAATCTTCGACCCTGTTTGTTTGATTTATTTTCAGCCATCCTACATAAATACCGTAAATCGATCAAAAAATTCAATCTACAACGTAGACTTTCTCGGGTGTGAAACACTTCTAGACATCCCGAGTGAGGCGAACTCCGTATTTCCCATGCGCCTTCCGGCGATCGTGTCCCAGAGCAGCGGTAGCGCTCGTCTGTGTTGTCTGGCAGGAGGCGCCGGAGCCGCCGGCGAAGGAGACGGCGCTGCACGTGGCGGTGCGCTGCCGCCAGGAGGCGGCCGTGCGCGCCCTCGTCGCCTTCGCCCAGCAACGCCGCGAAGAGCTGGAGGGCCAGGGCGACGACAAGGAAGAGGCCATGGACTTCGACGCGCGCGACTCCAACGGCGACACCCCGCTGGCGCTGGCGCTCGCCACGGGCCAACAGCACCTCGTGCCGCTGCTCCTCAAAGGTAGCGTCGCGGACCGGCAGGCCCTAAGGGGTGCGAATACCCGCAGGTGGTGGATTTAGCTGCGGTTTGGAGGATAATTCTAGCGGCCGGATGCCGAGATACGGAGATTTTCCATGGGTTCTCCGATCAATACCAGGCGTAGCAAAAGTGCCATGAACAGAGTATGAGCTTTCATTCCTCTTCCTTGTCCTATCCTCTCCCCTACACTTTCATATACCACACATGTCGGTAGTATATAGCTTATCGTGAATGGGACGGTGCCCCGTTTGTGAAGATTTTTTGTCTTAATTATGTTTGATGCAAAAAGCGGGGTAATTCTCTACACATCGTTAGCGCACTTGGAACCGATTTACTTGCTTCCTTTTGACGATTTCGGGTGTTGTAGCCAATGCGCGCATTCGCATATCGATTTCTGGAGCGGCAGAGTCCATAGGGGTGCGCGGGGTTGCTAAAAGTTGCGAAATCGTTCGTTAAACGAAAGCTTGTAAATCGGTTGTAACGGAGATTTCTTATGAATGGTACAATACCCTCATGTTTTGCATTGCAAATTACTTATAGAGAGAAAGTATAGGGCGCGAGGAAAGTTTTTCGGCAGTGGCTGATGAGTGTTTTATCAACACAAATTAGTATGTTGGAATCGCGAGCTCGGGGCAATGCTAGGGCCTTCCTAAGGACGATGTGACGGCACGGTGATGGCAGCCCCTTACGCGGCTGGGTGCGGAGAGTCGCTCTGCAGGTGCAACCACGTTCGTGTGATGGTGTGCAGGAGGCGCGGACGTGAACGTGGTGGACGGGCGCGGGCTGTCGCTGCTGCACCGCGCGCTGCTGGCGGGCGACGCGGCCGCCGCGCTCTTTCTGCTGGAGAGCGGCGCCGACCCGCACCTGCCGGCGCCGGCCGCGCCCCCGGCCTCGCCCCGGGCCGCCACGCCCCTGCAGCTGGCCCTGCGCGCGCGCCTGCCGGCCGTGTGCGAGGCCCTGTGCCGGCGCGGCGCCGACCTCTCGGCCGACCTGTCCGCCGGTGACGACCCGCCGCTGTGGGAGGCCCTGGCCGACGGGCAGGCGGACGTGGCGGCGGCGCTGGTGCGCCACGGCGCCGACCCCGACTGCTGGGCGCCCGGGCCCGACGGCTGCCTGCAGACGCTGCTGCACCGCGCGCTCGACGAGAACAACGAGCCCGTCGCCAAGTTCCTCATCCGCAGGTACGCCTCGGCGCCCCGACAACGCGCGTGGGCTCGATGGCCCCCGACGCGCCGCTTCTGCCGGGTCTGGTGGCCTCTACGCCTGCTCTTTCAGCACTCTCATCATCGTCTCTCTACCATTGTTCATTCTTACTTTCTTTCTTTCATTCTCCCCTTTCCATCTATTTTCTTTCTTCTTGGCGACGGTTTCGATGAGCTCTCCCCTCTCGACCGCTTTCCTTAGCACCAGCTACACAGCTGATTGAATTTAACCACTCACTGGACGAGAATTCTAGCGATCAGCTCTCTGATCGCTAATATTCACATAACAATACAATATGATAAATACAAGTCGCAAAAAAATCAAAATTACACGAAATATTTATCTTACATATAATAATATGTATATCATTCATTCGTCTTTTTACGCTCGTCATAATAAACTAAAACAATGTGTATAGTTCCATTTGAATAAAACTAAGTACCTCGGAAAATACAAGTAATAAAATAGAAACAAATACATAAATCAGTTAGCCCCATTTCTTCATGCACTCCCGTGAAAACTGCATTACAATAACTTCAACCGTTCAAAAATTATGGGAGGTGCTAAAGTTACGTGACTCTTCGTGTATACCATATGTAAGGGTTAATGACCTAAGTAGTTTATATGCCCGGAAACAATACTCATCCGCTTTTCAGTTACTCCATTTCTCCTTTTGTATCTTCGTGGGTCACCACTCGATTGTATCCCTATCGGTAATACGAGGGGAAAGGGGGAATATATGTAGGAGAAAAGTCTGACATGGCCTAAACTGAAAAAAAAAAAAAAAA